TTCCATGATCTCTTAAGGAAGGCATTCAATAAGGCAATCAATTGTTTTACAGTATTGGAGGCATTTTGTACATGGTAATGGGTAACACAAATATGATGAAAGAAATGAGAACATGTTAGCTGTTACTTAGCCCAAAGGGCATCAACTTGTTCTTGTAACAAGGCAGTTTGTTGATTTAAGTTCATGAGTCCAAGTTGTATGTTACACTGATTGAGTTCTAAGTTTGCAGGACTTCACTAACTTTTCAACCGTGGAAGCTGTAACCGCAGTCTGAGACAGGCGATGCTAGCAGCGATGGCAGCAGTAGAAATGATGGCTATGCTAATGATGATAGCTGCTGTTATTCCAAAACCTCTTTTGCTTCTGTGCAATATCAGTTCAGCACCTGGGGGAAAAACACAAACAGCTCCCCTCACCTGCGCTAACGCTGGCCACCTGTAGAGGCTGCTCTTGGACCTCTCCTCTCCATAATAAATAATAACCTCCTGATAATGCTGCTCTACACAACTGTTGCCAATCACTGGGTGTTAAGTATTGTGGATACACCTTAATGAATTTCAACAAAGTTTTAGGTTTATAATTTCAAAGATACAGTTTTTCAATTTCTTGTTCCTCCAAAACCTTTTTAATCTGATCCTTGTTCTTCCAAAACTCTTTTAATCTGATAATACAGTTCATGCTTACTTTATACGTTTCCCATATTCTCAAATATTCTTAAGTTCTTGCTTACTCTGTACGTTTCCAAATATTCTTAAGTTCTTGCTTATTCTCAAATATCCTTAAGTTCTTGCTTACTCTGTACGTCTCCCATATTCTCCAAAATTCTTTTAATCTGATAACTCTTTTCCTGATCGCTCCCAAGAGGCAACATCTACAGACCCTTCTTCAAGAAACCAGGGGACCTCTGCTGCGATGGTATTCAAGAATTTTTCCACCGTCTCCGCCTTTATCTTGATCCTGCCACGTCCTAAGAGCTGCACTAACGCAGTGTGCACTTTCGCTTTCGAGCCGCCAGTACCCATTTTCTTTGAATTGCTTCTCTGTCCCTTTTAGGGAACCTTAACCTCTATCCCTTTCAGGGAACTTGAACCTCTGTCCCTTTTAGGGAACCTCAACCTAATCCCTTATCCGGGGAGCCTTCCAGTCCCCTGTCCAGGGCTTCCTAATCCCTTATCCGGGGAGCTACTTAGTCCCCTGTCCAGGGAGTTTCCTAATCCCTTATCCGGGGAGCTACTCAGTCCCCTGTCCAGGGCTTCCTAGTCCCTTATCCGGGGAGCCTTCCAGTCCCCTGTCCAGGGCTTCCTAGTCCCTTATCCGGGGAGCCTTCCAGTCCCCTGTCCAGGGCTTCCTAGTCCCTTATCCGGGGAGCCTTCCAGTCCCCTGTCCAGGGCTTCCTAGTCCCTTATCCGGGGAGCCTTCCAGTCCCCTGTCCAGGGCTTCCTAGTCCCTTATCCGGGGAGCCTTCCAGTCCCCTGTCCAGGGCTTCCTAGTCCCTTATCCGGGGAGCCTTCCAGTCCCCTGTCCACTATTACACACTTCAGCTCTTTATATAGCGTTTCCAACAGCCCTCCCCCCAGCCGGTATCAATCAGGGCTCACACACGTGCAGCGGCCAGGCAGAGTGTAGCTCATAGGCATGTAGCAAGATCACCAGGCTGGCAGCACCTGTTTGGCCTCTCCATACTTTGGAGTAAGCAAGCGGGAATCACGAGCCTTGGCAATCAGCCAAGAGTTGGAGTAAACAGCACGAGGTTTGGCAGCCAGCCAGGGCGCCATCTGGCTGACTCAGCTGTGCTCGCTTCCCACATTATATCTGATTGAAAATTTGCTGATTGTACTTACACTAGATGCTCCACTGTTGAACCAGCAGGAACCTTTTGTTTGGTATATTGATAATGCAGCATACCAGGTCCGTTGTTGAGCAGAATTATAGGGGATGATTCTCCCCAAGTCATCTGTATATAGCCTTTGGCACCATGAAAGCCATCCATCCAGTGGCAGGGAGTTTCTAGCTTAGTCCAAGCTTGATTTCTCTAAGGGGGGGGATATTTTTTAAAGGTACTTGCTTATTGATATAAATAACAGAACGCCTACTATATTTTTTGTAACACAGAGTAATATTTTAATGTCATGTTTTGGATATACATTTGTTTGTTTTTAAAAAAAGCAGCAGGAGTCTCCTGAACCCTGGCTGCCTCAAGTTTCCTAGTTGCTAGGGTTTGGGGTAAGACCTGGAGGTAGGCTCCAACCATTTCCAGCCCCCATCCCTGGCCTCAGAGAGGGACTTTATCACCTGACACAAATGAATTTTTGTTTTTGGAGGTAGGGTGTCCAGGGTATCGTCAAACTCATTATGTAAATGAGTGGGGACTTGAGTTCCTCATCCTCCTGCTTCCACCTCCCTAGTGCTGGGATTACAAGTGTGCCCAAGACAGTGACCTGTGCTAGGGACATCTGGGGAAGGGGATCTGGATCCAGTGGCAGTGAGCACTATTCACATAGATTCTGCTAGACCTGGCTGACCCCTGTTCACGAATTCCTTCAGCAGATGGTCATTACCACTTAGCCATGTGCCACACTCTGGCCTGGACCCTGAGTGCTGTATGACCAGACCAATAGGGACCCACCCTGGTAGATCTGACTTCCTGAGAAAAGAGACAATAAACATAAATAAACACCCATGGGATTGGGGTGGAGGGGAAGTTATTTAAAGAATGTGAAGCTGTTTCTGGTAGCACAGACCTAAAATCCCAATTACTCTGGAGGCTGAGGCAAGGAGATTTAAAATTCAAGGCCAGCCCGAGGTACAGAGTGAGTTCAAGGCCAGTTTAGGCAACTTAGTGAGATTCTGTCTCAAAATAAAAAGTACAAAGAGAATGTGTTGTAGCTCAGTGGTAGAGTGCTTGCCTAGCACATGCAAGGCCCTAAGCTCAATTCCCATTATTGCAACAAACAAAACACTCTGGAGAAAACATACAATATTTAAATATTTTAATGCAGATAAAGACTTCATAAGCAAGAGAAAGAAAAGACTGATATATTTAAATCCATAAAAATTCACACATATTTATGTACCACAAATAAAATAGAAAAACACAAAAGAGAAAGAAATGAACTGGTAGAAAACAACTGTTACATTTGACAAAAGCCTAGTTTTACTATAAAGGGTTTGAAAATAAAAATGAAGTCTAGTAACACAAAGGAAAACCAAGTATATGAACAAGAAAACTGCAGGAAAGTTCATAAAAATTGCTTCAAGGGAATTGAATATATTATTTTAAAGATATTAAATGAGAGAAATAGAAATTAAATCATCATTTTTCCTCTTTGAGATTGGCAGAAATAAAAAGTTTGACCATGTTAGTGTTGGCCAGTAGTGGGGAGTGAGCACACGTCATTGCGGGGAGTGTCAATTTTGTATTTTAAACATAATCCCCCTGGAAGGCTGAGCATGGTGGCTCACGCCTGTAGTCCCAGCACTTGGGAGGCAGAGGCAGGCAGATCTCTGTGAGTTGAAGGCCAGCCTGATCTACATAATGAGTTCCAGGCCAGTTGGGGCTACAAAGAGACCCTGTTCCCAAAAAACCAACCAACCAAACAAACAAACAACAACAACAACAAAAAAAACCCAAAATGTAATGAACATAAGCCTCCTAGGTGGGATGACCATCAACAGTGGTCCAGCATTTTTATGTCTATATAGAGGATAAATTGGCAGCAACTATCAGAATTTTAAATGCATATACTCTTTGATAGGCAATCTCATTTCAAGAGTCAACAGATAGGCAAACACAATCAAAGATGTAAGCTATTCATGCAAAACACCCAAAACAATTTTAATGAACTTTAATGGACTGATGAAATAAAGCCGAGTCCATGACCAGAACAGAAGACTACCAGGCAGCCATGAAGAAGGCATGTGCTAATGCCATGCATTTCTTTAGCACAAGAAACATATAAGGCATGGAACAAAGGGCATTGTATAAATCCATTGGTTGAGGAAAAACATACCAGGGATGGGCAGATGATTGACTGATAGATAGGTAAATAGGTAGATAGATGATAGATAGATAGATAGATAGATAGATAGAGAGATAGATAGATAGATAGAGAGATAGATAGATAGATCAACATAATACCTATATAAACCATTTCTGAAAGGATTCCCAGAAACTTTGGAAGAAGGGACTGGGAGATCAGTAGGCTTACTTTTCATGGAATATTTTTAATTAGAAAAACATTTACTAAGATCTACATGTTATTTTTTATTTAAAAACTACTTGTATGGTAAAAATGATAATCCAGAACAACTCAATGTAGCTATAAAAAATTTCTCTGTAATAATAATAGTGATACTAGTAAAACAGGATAATCTACTTGGTTAATGCTTTTTTATTAAAAAATAGACATTTTAGCCAGGCGTGGTGGTGCATGCCTTTAATCCCAGCACTTGGGAGGCAAAGGCAGGCAGATCTCTGTGAGTTCAAGGCCAGCCTGGTCTACATAGTGAGTTCCAGGCCAGCTGGGGCTACAGGGAGACTTTGCCTCAAAAAAAGACAAAAAAAAAGATAGACATTTTAAAGGAACACCAACAGTATTAAAGAATAACTTGGGACCAGCAAGATGGCTCAACAAGTATGGCACTTGTTAACATCAGGTCAACAACCCTGATGACCTGAGTTTGATCCCTGAAACCCACACTGTGGAAGGAGAGGACCAACAAGTTGTCTTCTGACCTTCACATCTACACTGTGGCATGCATGCGTGTACGAGAGGGAGGGAGGGAGGGAGGGAGGGAGGGAAGGAGGAAGGGAAAGAGAGAGACAGAAAGGAAGGAAGGAGAGAGAGAGAGAGAGAAAGAAAGAAAGCGAGCAAACTACTGAGGACTAGCTAGACAGCCCATATTAATGTGTTTGTACTCAGTAGGCAAATAAGAGAGAGAAAGAGAGAGAGAGAGAGAGAGAGAGAGATAAAGGAAGAAGAGAGGGAGGGAGGGAGGGAGGGAGGGAGGGAGGAAGGGGGGAGGAAGATGACTCAGTAGTTAAAAGCACTGACTGCTCTTACAGAAAACCCTGGTTCAGTTCCCAGCACCCACATAGCAGCCAACACCTGTCCTTAACTCCAGTTCCAGAGGATCCAACACCCACCTGTGACCTCCAGGGTACCAGGCACACACATGGTACACTTACACACATGCAGGCACAACATTCATGCACATAAAATAAACATAAATAAAATCTTTTCTTAAAAAATACCTCTTTCCAGGAGTGGTGGTGAATCCTGTAATCCCAGTACTCTAGACTAGACACTGAGGCAGGAGGATTGCCTCCAGTTCAAGACCAGCATGGACTACATAGCAAGAACCTGTCTGCAAACAAGAGAAAAAAAGAATAACTTTTCCAAGTTCTTTCAACAGTCTAGAGGAAAGACAAGTTTAAATCTTTTTGTTGTGATTAAGTAATTCAACTTTGAAAGTCTAAGTTTTAATTCTCAGTATGTAATTTATTTCTCAGATGGCCTGCCCAGGCAGCTTGGGGGGCAAAAGCTCATTCACAGCTATCGCCACTCCCTACCCATCCCCAACAGCGTATTCAAATCCAATGCCAAAAGTTACTTATTAAACACAAGAGATACTGTGTCCTGGGAAACCCATTATAATCTTTGCCTGTGGGAGGACCGATCTCTTATGAAGCCCAGAACAGTCATCTCCACAAAGACAAGATGGGGAGTCATCACGTAAGTGTTTGTTGCATTTGGGGATTTGTTTTCAGTTTGTTTAGCCTGTGGAGGAATTTGAGCTATGAATTTATGATTGATATTTTCATACTTTATCACTTTGATTTCTCTTTGTTAGTGATTTTAGCAAAAGCATACCATACTTTTTAAAACACATTTGCGATATATCCACCACCATCACCATGCCCCCACCATTGAGTAACTCTTTTAGGAGTGGCTAAAGAAATGTGTTTGAAATAAGGTATTAAACAGTAACTTGCAAAGAGAAAATGGCTACCATGCATTTGCAGAACGTTTAAGTAAATCTTTTAGTTTGTGGCAAAATAGTACAAAACCTCAGACTATGCCTATTCAGAGTTTGTGTGAAAGACAAGTTCCTGTTGAAAATTTCAGTATGGCAAGGTAAAGATACTCTTTGGAGCCCATGAAGTTTGAACTACAAGGTGAACATCTTCTAGCATAATCTCCATGTAATGTCAAGCACTCAAATATTTGCAGTTTTTCTTGGAATAGACTAAACATTTAACTTTTTTCTTTTGAAATGTCTAGGCTTATGAATAGCATATCTATAAATTGCTCATGATTAAAAACTCACCAAAACATTTGGAATCTGCAGTATGGAAGGCAGATAAGAGTTTACTCAACCTTTTATATTGAAATATGATATCTAAAGCTATTCAAGTATGAATTTTAATAAGGTCTTGTGAAGCCACTATAACTTCTCATGACAAGATTATGGATTTGATCAAAACATGTTATATGCATGTATGAAATTATCAATAAAGTGTGTTTAAAAGTTTTAAAAAGATTATATGCATTACATATAATAATATGTATTATCATATATAATGTATATATTATGTAATTAGGAGTAAAGGGACTAAAACTCCATGTGTTCCTGCAAACTGTAACCATGTTTATAAGGTTTTGCCTTTGCTGTACATGAAAGGGGTGTTCAGCTGTTTACAAACCTACAAATAATGTCTTCAGAGAGTCTTTAATTTTTAAATCATCTGTAAATAGCATTTTCCTGCTAGCAAAGACTTTGCATGTATATTTCCCAGAAACTGAAAACCCCTTTTAAAATTCTTCAGAGATGGCTGGGCGTGCTGGCGCACCCCTTTAATCCTAGCACTCAGGAGGCAAATGCAGACAGATCTCTGTGAGTTCAAGGCCAGCCTGGTCTCCATAGCAAATCCAGGTCAGCTGTGGCTACAGGGAGACCCTGTCTCAAAAAGACAAAAAAAAAAAAAAAAATTCTTCAAAGAGCACAAGGGAACTAAAAGGTGCACCACGAGGGCTACAGGGAGACCCTGTCTCAAAAAGACAAAAAAAAAAAAAAAAATTCTTCAGAGACACAAAGGATATTAAGAGTGAACACCTGCCCCAAAGCATCTGCAGCTTTGGAGGAAAGTTTTGTCTTTTGAAATTAATCCCCACTGCCCTTTGAGTCTAGGGTAGAATTTTTATAGATTTCTTTTTTCCATTCCCAGGTCAGCCTTACACCTCCCAGAAGGCACCCAATAGCTGTCTAAAGGGGACATCGTACCCTGATAGCGTCTGCCTCTCCACCACTGCCCCAAGCCCTTTATTTTCCCTTCAAATTGTAAGATTTCTCATGGACGCAGTATTAGTCAGCAATGATCTTCTCTTACCCTTGTCTGAAAACCCTGTCATCCGGCTTGCATTCCAAACAGGCAACACTGCCCCTGCAAAACATTTGACAATATTTACAGCTAATGGGAAAATGTAGTCTTCTGAGTTCAGTGTCTGTTCCCAGCAACATCTCATTAACATTCCCTTAGGATGCAGTGCCTGAAGCTAAGATTACAAAGCAGTAAGGAAATTGAACTTGAGCACAAGGAATAAATACATTCTAAAAGAGTTGATGCAAAACCTACGTAAAGGGCAAAGCAATTTTCCCAGCAATGGCCTAAATTAATTGTCCTAACAAGCTTCTTAAATATGCACAAACTAAAACCAGAATGCCAAAGTCAATTTACAAATTAACTGTTACCAAAATGCAAGTCCATGATGTTCCGTGTATATTTCTGACTTCCTGTAGTGAGCAATGTTATCTTGTTGAATTGAATGGCTGTATGCAGTGTCTGCAATGTCTAGTAGTCCTGATTTCTGCCATTTTGCTTCCTTTGAGTTCCAGCGAATCTAAAATATGATGTGACATGACTTCATGCTTCTGGCTTTCTCTAAGCAACCTACTGAGGAGGTTTGAGTCAGAATATTTCCAGAGTGCCATGGGGCCGCCTCTTGGCTCAGACATGGGACCTTTATATAAACTCCTTCTCTGATCCTTGTTCTTTTTCTTCTGTGACAATGAAATTAAATTTGGCTTATTATAAATTATAAATACATACACAAAGGCAGGGATTGAAATCATGTACCTGCCTGCGTTTGGTTATTTTTATGATCCAGGGTGCTATAAAATAATTTTTAAGTTATTATCAACATTGAATACCTAGAAAAGTTTTAAATTCCTAAGAATATGTCCATAGACCAAGATTCACAGATAACTATCTGACAAATATTATTCCAAAGTCAAGAGAACAATTGACCAGAAAATACGTTTTCCAAGCACTGTCATCTGGAGTCCTAGCCAGTCCTGAAACTGAAGATTACTTTTCTTTCACGCTTTCCTGTGTGTGCCCACCAACGTATTTTTAATTTTTTAATTTTTATTTATTATTATTATATGATGTGTATGCATGGTGTGTGTGTGTACATGATGGGGGCACATGTGTGGAGGTCAAAGGACAACTTTGTGGAATTGAATTTTTCCTTCTAACTTTACATGGATTCTGGGGATTGAACTTGGGTCACTGGAATTGGCTGCAAATGCCTTTATCTCCTGAGTCACCTCATCAGCTCTGATTTTTTTTTTTTTGTCACTGAAGATATAATGCTTGTGACTATCCTATTTGAAGCAGCTGTAACCAAGACACTGGGTTATTGCCATCTGCTCATTCACACTGTATTCAGAGTCTGCATAACCTATGCTGGTCCCTAGACTAGTGTGCTTCACATATAAAAAAATGAGATACATGGAAAAAAGTGCTCCGGTTTAGCTAGATGGCTCTTCAGTTCTGTTTTATGGTGTGAGTTGTTTTCAAGAGAATTACTGTCTAGAGGAAAACAGAGAATTGAGCTTACCTTGTCAGTGAAGGGAAGGAAAAACAAGGCTTAGGGGCATTGTTGAAAATGTGAAAATGTGCCCAAATTCAAAAGGATGAGTGATTTCTGGGAACTTACTGCAAGGTGGTGAATACATTCTAGAAAGAACCACAGCTTTGCTAGTCAACATGTGCTCCTTGGACTAGGAGAAACAGCCACATTGCCAGGACACTTGTCAACAGTGCAGAATCCGGGCTGGACAGATGGCTCAGTGGCTAAAATGCTTGCTGCAGAAGATGAGGACCTGAGGTCAGATTCCCCAAACTAAGGTAAAAAGCCGAGCAATGGACACACACACCTGCAATCTCAGTGCTGAAGTGGCTAAGACAGAAGGCTCCCTGGGGCTTGCAGGTCAACTAGTCTAGATGAATCACTGAGAGACTCTGCCTCAAAAAATAAGGTAGAAGGGCTGGAGAGATGGTGCAGTGGTTAAGAACACTGGCTGTTCTTGCAGAGAACTCAGGTCTGGTCCTTAACACCCACAGAGCAGCTAACAACCGTCCTTAACTCCAGTTCCAGGGGATCTGATGCCCTCTTCTGGCCTCTAACAGCATTGTATGCACAGCACACTTGCATTCACATAGGCAAAACACTCATGCACATAAAATAAAGATAAATTAATTAGGCATAATAGCACATGCCTTTAATGCCAGCAGTTGGGAGGCAGAAGCAGGTGAGATCAAGGCCAGCCTGGTCCACATACTGAGTTCCAGGCCAGCTGGGGCTACAGGGAGACCCTCTCTAAAAAAATAATTTATTGAAAATATTTTTCAAAAATTATGGTGGAGAAGGAATTAAGGAAGACACTCAGTTCAACCTCTTACCTCCACAGGTGCACACACACATATACATAAACATAGAAATAAAAGAAAAAAGGAAGGAAAGAAAGAAAAAAGAAAAGAAAAAGAAACATAATTTCAGGTCCACCCAGAGCTACTGATGTTCAGTCTGCATCTTCATATCATTCAGTGGGTCTTGTTCATATGAACATCTTGCAAGCCCTGGGCTTGAGGACAAGTTCTCATCCTTGGGTGCACATTAGATTCACCTGGAGAATTCTATAAGCCATTGGTGCCTGGGACCCACCCCAGAGAGGCTGAATTCATTCCTGCAGTGGTTGTTCTATGCATCAGGATTTGTAAATGTTCCCCAGGTGATTGTAAGGTTCAGAGACTTGGAGGATTGCTGAATGGAGCGCTCCACTAACCGTAGATCTCCACATACTGCTGAAAGCAGGTGTCACTGGGAGTGCCCACGAATGAAAGGCAACTTGTAAATGTTACAACATCTGTTCAGCGATCTGCCACGCTGCCTGTGAACATGCCAAGTGAATGACTTGCTTGTACCAATATTTAGCCAACATAAATGTTGTCTAACACGGAGGACACTTTGGAAGTAGTGGCAGGTGAATGCCAAGTGAGGTCAGGTGAAGGTAGACTTAAGAATTGAGTAACAGGTGGGGAATAGGCCCAGATTCCTGAGAAAATGATGCTCTGGAGGCAGGTAAATACGTGGGGAGTTTGGGGAGAAGTGTGATTTTAACAGAGTATGTACTTTAAACTATGACCTCATCTCAAAAGAGTCACAGTGAACTCCCAGAAGAAATAAGTCTAGGCCCTGCCATTGTACCTTCCCTGTCAGGAAAGCTTTTGTTGTGGAAAGTTGGTCCTTCACAACATCAACCTTAGTGGTTAAAAAAGAACTTCTGACATCAAACTACACCATGCCTAAAGCACACCTTTATTCACAAACAAGTCCCCATTCAAAGTCTACCTACTTTTCAGGCAGAATTTATATCCTGAGCTTTGGGG